TCTTCTGCAACAACTGAATTATTGAGTGCTCAAGGTCATTACTCCGGCCTTGTTTTCTACCCCATGGACACACCTACCCAGCTGTCAGACACTGTGCAAGCTTCCCCATATGCCAGGGTCTTTCATGTTTGTCTTCATTCCCACATGTTTCTGTCTCATCCTGAATGCATGCACTACCATTCCCTTATCTGGGAAGCCCTCCTGTCCACCCGTCTGTAGGCCCAGCTTGGCATCCTTGCTGCATTCCCGTAACCCTCTGTTGTGGCACTCAATCCTCTGTGGTGGACACATTCATTTCCTGTTTATTTGTTTCTTCAAGGAGGACATCACAGTCCAATCTGTATCACCATTGCCTAAAAAGAACCTGCCACCTAGTAGACCCTCAAGAAAAGGAACAAATGAACCAATGAATGAAATGAGGCTCAGCCTCATTTCTAGTTGTGTGAGTGAAGTTTCTATTGCTATAACAAATACCTAATATAACACACTTACAAAGATAAAAGGTTTATTTGGATCATGGTTTTAGAAATTTGAGTCCATGACTGGTTGGCTGTATTGTGTTGGGCCTGTGGCAGTGCATCATGGCAGGAGCACATCGTTGACCACAACTATTCACTCATGGTTGGGAAGTAAAAGAAAAGAAGAGGAAGGGAGAAGGATCCTATGATCTCTTTCAAGGGCACACCCTTGCAGTGACCTAAAGACTTCCATTAGGCCGCACCTCCTGAAAGCTCCACCATCCCACCAAGCTAGGGATTTAGCTTTTCCCACATGGACCTTTGGGCCACATTCTAGATCTAAACTGTACCACTGGCTTCTCTCTCTGTCCCTCTCCCTCTCTCTCTCCCTCCCTCCCTCCTTCTCCCTCCCTTCATCTCTCTTCAAAACGGGATTCTACCCAAGGCCATCACACCAAGCTACATACTGAGCCATTTTTAAAACATTTTTTTTTCATACTGAGGTGGGGTTTCACCAAGTCACCAAGTTGCCATGCTTGGTTTAAACTTGTGATCCTCCTACCTCAAACTCCCAGAATGCTAGGATTACAGGCATGTACCACCACCCTTGGCTTTAGATCTCACTTATCGACAGCTTTCATGTAGAAGTTAATAGTACAGTGAACCTTTGAGTTATGACCTGCCTGACATACAAACAACTTGGGTTATGAACTGGAATTTTAGTTTTAACTTACAAACAAAGTATTGAGATAAGACCCAAATGCCAGCCACTTGTGCTTCTGGATGGTCTCAGATACAGATTTTTTTTTTTTGTACCAGGGATAGAACTCAGGACCTTGCGCTTTTGAGCCAGGCAGTGGCACCACTGAGCTAAATCCCCGATCTGCAGATACAGATTTAACCCTTAGAGAGCTCTGGAAGGACCATGACAACATCCTTTCCTGTGTGGGGTTAACTGAGAAATCCTGGGCCAGTGTCTCTAAGGATGCTGAAATCTTCCTGTGTGCAGGAGGGAGACTTTGAAGGCTATGTAGAGGAGCCTGAGCCTTCAGTTGATCAACTTGAGTTACAACCAGCCATTGTGAATGAACTGAGTTCATAAGTCAAGGGTCCACTGTATATGTTCTGATGTCACACTTCTTGGGTCCATATCCCATCTACTATTCGGTTTCTTAGCTGTATGAATTTAAGCAAGTAACTTGACCTCTCTGTGCCTCAGTTTTCTCATCTGTAAGTGATGCAGTGATAACATCTACCTCAGGGTCATTGTGGGGAATAAATGGGTTAATGCATAGTAAATGCTTAAAATCTGGGACCAGAAAATACTCTAGAAACATTATTATTATTATTAATCATCTTAAGTACTACTCTGAAACTTAGTAGATCCAAGTGTGTTTCAAGGGCAAAACATTCTGCAGGAATGGTTAGTGCCCTCAGCAGCCATTTGAGGTTAACTATTTGAGGCTGATAACAGCTTTGGCTAGTAATGCTTCCACTATGTGCTGTAAGAGATAAAAAATTTAAAGGTATGTGTGGGCTGAGGAATCGTTAGATGGCCCACCAGTAGAGCTTTCGTAGCCCTAGAGTATGTTAACCACATTTTATTGTGATTGTATTTTCTTTCAACAAACAAGTGAGCTCTTTGGAGCCAGGTAGACTTGGTAGAGTGTTTAGATATGTGATTTCTTGGGGCCTTAGCATTTTGAGCCTTGGGAGGTTATGTTGGCAAGGTTGGTGACCAGAAAATAAGAGCACAGGGCTGGACAGGAATTTTTTTTTTTTGTAGAAATGGATAAGCTGTTCCTAAAATTTATATGTAAAATGCAAAAGATCTAGTACAGCCCGATTTCTTTTTAAAAAGACCAAAGTTAGGATTTTCATTTTCCAATTTCAAAACTTAACTATATAGCTGTAGTTAAGACAGTGTGATACTGGCCTAATAATAGACATATATATTAACTGAATAGAATTGGAAGTCCAAAAATAAATCTCTATATTTTTGTTTAATTGATTTTTGACAAAGACGCCAGGACAATTCACTGGAGAAAGGGTAGCATTTCTAACAAATGATGCTGAGAAAATTGGATCATCACATGACAAACTTAGACATTTATCTCACACCATGCATAAAACTGAACTCAAAATAGACCCTAGACTTAACATAAGTGCTGAAAACAATAAACTTAGAAGAACATTAAGAGAAAACCTTTGCAGCCACAGGTTAGGCAAAGAGTTCTTAGATGTAGCAAAAGTACAGTTCATAGAAGAAGAAAAATGAATTTGATCTCGTCAAAACAAGAAAAGCTCGTACTTCAAAATACAGAATGAATAAAGTAAAATGATGAACAGGAGACCGGGGGGAAATATTTGCAAAAGTCAGCTCTGGTAAACATGGGGCATCTCTGGAACATGTATCCAGGACACATACTGGTACACCTCAATAATAAGCAAAACGAAAAACCATTTTAAAATATGGAAAATATATATAGAAATTTCACCCCTCAAAAGATTTGCATGGCTAATGACCATGTAGAAAGATAGTCAGTGTCATTAATTATGAAGGAAATGTAAATTAAACCTACAGTGAGATATATTTACCATGCCTGCTAGAATGGTTATACTGAAAAAGGCAGACAACAAATACTGGGGAGAATGTGGAAAAATTAGAATCCTGATACATGGTGGTAGGAATGTAAAATAGTGCAGCCACTGTGGAAACTAAATTGACAGTTTCTTAAAAGTTAACCATACATGCACCCTAAGAACCAGCAATTCCACTCCTAGTTATTTATTCAAGAAAGATGAAAACATGTCTACACCAAGACTTGTAGGCATATGTTTATAAATAACAGTTTTATTTACAATATCCAGAAATTAGAAATAACCTGAATGTACATCAGTACCTCACTAGATGGGCAGTGTGTGGTATATCCATGCAATGAAGTATTCTTCAGCATAAAAGGAAGGAACAGACTATTGATGTATGCTGGGTCTTGGGTAGACATCAAACTCATCACACTAATTGAAAGAAAGCCAGAGACTGTACAACATGGTTTATTTCTATAACATTGTCAGAAAAGGCAAATCTGCAGGAAAAGAAAACAGATTAGCAGTTATCAGAGGCAGGATAGGGGATGGTAGATGGGGATTCACAGTAAATATGAGAGATCTTAATTGGGATGACAGAAATGTTCTAAAATTGCTTCATGACAATGGCTGTACAACTTGGTAAGTTACAGAGAATCATTGAACTGTCCACTTGAAATAAGTGAATGACATGACATGCAAAGTGTGCTGCAGTAAAGTGTGGGTAGGAAGAGAAAGGGAGGGAAGAGAGAAAAGGGAAGAATGGAAGAGAGAGAGCTTTTGGATGTGACACTAGACTCTCTTACTAGTTGTGTGATCTCAGACAAGACTAACCTCTCTTTGCCTCAGTTTCCAATAAGTAAAATTGGAGAAAGTAAGTTACTAATCACAAAACAGCATGGGAAAGATTGTGATAATATATAAAGAGTACTTTGGACCACGTAGAAAGACTCCAGCAGATTAGCAGTGTTTAGCCTACTGAGCATCCAGCTCCGACATAGCTTACGTCCAGTCTTAGAGAAGGACTGGACTGTGACTTGTGGAGGGCAGTGACCAGCCCTGTGGAAATGGCTCCTGGAAAAGCTGGGTGTCTGTGGCACATGGTTTCGCAGTCACCTTGCAGATAAAGGCAGCTTCTTCCAGGTGACATCATTGATGGGGGACCCGTCCTGCCGCCCATAAATTTGAGAGCAGCGTAGCACATTAACCTGAGTCCAGCAGGCTTTCAGGCCCCACCCATTCCCAGCCAGGTCCTGCTTCGGTAGGGGACAGCTGATGATGGAGGGACACCTCATCTGAAGAGGAGAGAAGCTCCTGAAGTGATCCAGATGATGGGGCAGCAGCCTAAACAAACCCCAGAGGCAATAGGGAGCTTGGTGAGCTCAGGTTCAGCAGAGGGAGAAGGAAGCTGGGTCCCACAGAGGGCTTGAGCATCACGACTAAGGGTTTCTCTATCTTAAGGATACAAGGAGCCAGTGAGGAGCTCTAACAGGTGCCAGAGCTGACTGAGCTCTCTTCAATTGGATGGTCCCAATGGCATCTACGTCACGTCTTGAGAGAGCCTGCTCCGTTGACGAGAAGCAAACCAGTGTCCTTCCAGATGGTCTGGCCTGGGTTTGCATCAGGCTAGTCGAGGGCAGGTGGTTCTCCGGGGAACACATCCATGCCAGTGCGGGGCTGAACAACAGTTTCACGACTCCTACGAGGGGAATGAAAGGCATCAAGTGGTGGCTGAGAGCCTGTCTGCAGGGCCAGACCTCAAAAAAGCAAGAACTTGTAAATGTTTCATAAACTTCATCGAGTGCCAGCTCTGGCCGAGAGCCCATTAATAAGCCAAGGCGGCCGAGGGGCAGGTGTGCAGGTTGCTATAGCGTTACCTGGGGCAGCATTACTGTGATGGGGGGGGAGGGGGAGAGAGAGAGAGAGAGAGAGAGAGAAAGAGAGAGAGACCAGCCAGGGAGGCAGGAGAGGCTGAAGCTCAGCCACAGATGCTGCTGGTCTGGGCCCCTTTTGGGCTGGAGCCCACATTAGCTTCTCCAGCTGGAGCTAGCAAGAGAGGCTGTGCTCAGTCTGCTGGTGGCTGCCTGAAACAGCGCCACAGGCTGCTGCTGAGCTGGCAGCTTTTGGAAGGGACTGAATTCCTGGCCAGAAACCCCTCAGCCCGCCCCGCCCCCCCCCCACCTTGGACGATCTGGGGCTGGGCATCGTCTCCTTTTTGATGTTAAGTAGTTCCCTCCAGAGCACTGACTTCCAGGTGGTCATCAAGGGAAACAGAGCGCTCCCCACACTGGAGATGAGGGAGGATGACAGTTTCTGAGAGCTCCTGGTAACGGCTTGGAGGTGCCTCTACCCTTTCCAAAATGCCTTTTAAAGCATTTGATACCTTCAGAGAAAAAATTCTGAAGCCCGGGAGGGAAGGAGTGAAGACTGCGGTGGGAGATTCACTGAGGATTTTACAAAGGTAAAGTTTGAATCCAAACTTTAGGCTTATTTCTGAGCAGCCTCACCGTGCCCATGTGTGAGACTTTGTATTGCATTTATAAAACCTTATTTTAATGAGGACGGAGTGGTCAGATTTGATGGTTTCTGTAGCCTCTTCCGGAGCCAGAAGTCTGCATGGAAAAAAAAAAAGTGCATCAGAACTATTGGGTGGAATTAGGAAAATATCAAGACAAGTATTCCATTTATCCAGCAGGATTAGCACTACTGATGGTGATGATATTGCAACAGTATGCTTGGTATAGAACTAGAAAAGATTTCAGGAGACAGTATTTCATGTAAATTCAATGGTAGTGAGAAATATAGTTATGCTTCAAGTTGAAATAAGTTGAAGAGCTTTTCACTATTAATGAAAATTAAATATTTGCGATTTTAAAGCTTGTTATATAAAATATAAACTGACTCCTGATGTAATATTTTTCAAAGAGAAGGCTAGTTGCATGACAGTTTCAAGAAGGTAACTTTTAAAAATAGTATTGTTTAAAGCAAGAAATCTCCCATGATAACAGTGGGAAAATGTTCAGTACTATTAAGTGTGAGGTTTTAGTCCAAGACAAAATAAATATTTTAAAAGTAAAATACACTATTACCACCGGGAGAGTTTGCCATAAATGAATGAATTGATGTTATATTTTAATTTATTATATTTTATAGACATGGTAGTAAACATCTCAGGTTTTAGAGATGAATTAATCAGTATTCCTTATGTACAAGGTAAAGTGACTCCATTATATCTCTTACATAAATAAATGTGAAAAATATGTTTGACTAGCTTTGTATGTGTTTGAATAATTATTTCTCACCCCAATGAGTGAATATGTCACCTGGCATCTCCTTTTATCTTTTCTATGTTATCTCTTAAATTTAAAAACTTTTGCCTTTAAAGTGACACTTTCTTGGCAATCTAGGACTCTTTCAGAGATTCTGTTTCTTGCATTTTATAACACATCTACTCCTGCTGGAGTTGAATTTTTCGCTGTTTCACTCTTGATGAGCTTTCATTGTAAAAGAATGAGGTCGGGTGCCTTATTACTTTAGAAATTAAAAACAAAAAGGCTTCACCCAGCTATGTTGAATTATCATATATAGAAGAAAACCCAGCTCGGTGACAGCAGCATGACCCAGCCAAATATAGAAAATGATTACAGTAACATTTTTAAAAGAGTGTTTTATCTTCTGTTGAGCACTCCCCAGGTAGCATCTTATTGTGGTGGCGTTCATTTGATTAGAGATGCAAAAGGAAGGCACAGTGGCTTAACTGGTTTATTCAAGTGATGACAAAGGAATCTTTATTCCTTCCAGAAATAAAATTGTGATTTTGGATCTCAGTCACCATTAGAATCAGGAAACTAACTGCTCCGTTTATAAAATACTTGGCAAAAAATATTTAGGCATTTTCTTTTGAAACTTTTGTTTAATGGCTTTTTTTTTTTAATTTAATTGCTTTGTTCAATAGGAAATTTAGCTTAAAGAGCTGGTTTTGCTGTGTGAGCTTGGATGAAGCACATGGAGATCTCTGTTTATCAAATCAGTTTGCTTAGGAATCTAACAAATTAGTAATCTCTGAGTTGCGTGCCATCAACCCCAAAATGAGCCCTGGGTCTAGGGCTCTTCCAACAGTTTGCACGGAATGACATCAGAGGACAACAGAAGAGCAGACAACAAAATGCTGAAGTCAGAGAATGTAATGAATAAATGCTAGATGTTGTCATCGCAGTCCTAGCTATGGAGTGCTTTAGGGAAAAAAAGCCTAACTCAAGCCTCTTTTTTCAGCCAACGTTAGGTAGAAATTATTGGCAGAAGAAGGACCAGCGATCCAAGGGATCGTCAGCTTCAGTGGTCTTTGAGCGCAGTTAGAGGTCAGCGCGGCCCCGCGACTGTGTGAAGGGGAGGGGAGGCTCTGAGATAATTGTATGCAAAGCGCTCGCCAAGAAAGAGCCGGCATATACTGTAATGTTCATTTTCTCCTTCCATACCTTAGTGATTGTCACATGAAACCAATTGACAGCCCAATGTAAAAAAATCAAAAACAAAACCCACAAAGAACTGTTCAGTTTCGGGGGGCATATGGCAGTCAGAAACCCTGCGTTCTGACTCGCAGGGAGGAGTCAGAGGTGGGTCCTCCTGAAGGAGTGGAGCTCATCCTCCCAGTGGGATTTGCGGTGGCGCCTTGGGTCAGGGGAGGGGCCGCTGCGCAGGGGCGACTGAGCGCCATGCGTGGGGCTGATTACTGTCAGGCCTTCTTAGCCTTCCTGGAGAGGCCCCGCCAGGAGCCGCTGGACTATTAATCAGCAAAACAGGCACGGTCATAGTTTATAAGTGTTAAGTGAAATAGAGCAGGTACACGAACGAGCTCAAGTATCACATAGTTTCTCTCCTGTGAGAAACCCAGAGCATAAATACATTAAGGAGCAAAATAAAATCTAGATGACAGGAAACAGGAGATAGAGCTTTTGCAGAAAGGAAGGGGAACAAGACATGGGGGGAGAAGGGATTAAAAAAATCCATTAAGATGTGCTGTGCACCTGGACCAGTTCTCCACAGTGAATGCAGCCATGTGTGCTGCAAACATGAACCAATAAAAATCATTTAAAAAGGAAGTGCAGGAAGAAAGATCTACTCATGGTCTAATATTGGACTATACAGATGATACCGAAGGCATTAAACTTGGAAACAAGTGTGCAGAAATTGATAGGCTGATTTGCTCAAGTTCAACAACAATATGAGTTTTCTCGGATCACATAGGCCTAAAAATAGTAATGGCAAGCACATAGCATGTTCCAGGCACTGTAAACTCATTTAATTCCATAAAGAGGGGACTACTGCAGTTATAATTTTTTCTTTTTTATTGGTACTGGGGATTGAATGCGGGACCTTGTGCTTGTGAGGCAGGCAGTGGAACCACTGAGCTAAATCCCCAGCCCAAGCAGTTATAATTTTATAGATGAGGAAATCAAGGCACAGAGAGGTCATGTGCCTAAGGCCACTCGGCTTAGAAGTGGCAGAGGTGGCTTCAAACCAGACATTCTATGCTCATATTCTTTTTTACTTTTTAAAAGATTTATACATGGTAATTGTCCATATTTATGGAGCAGACTGATCATTCGAACCGTGTATACAGTGTATTGCTATCAAATTAGCGTATCTATCTCCTTAAAATTTATCATTTCTTTGTATTAGGAGCAGCTGATCTCCTGTCTTTTGTGCTTTATAATATGTGTAGCAAACAATCGTGAACTACAGTTTCCTACCTTACTGCAGAATGGGAAAACTTACTCTTCCTAACTATAATTTCAGTACTCTATACAGCTCCGTGTCCCACCTGCCTCCCTTCACTTCCTAGCCTCTGCTGACCACTCTTTCACTCTCTACCTCTATGAAAGCAACTTTTAGGCTTACACATATGGGTAAAAACATGTCGTATTTGCCTTTCTTTGCCTGGTATTTCACTTAATGTCTTCCAGTCCTATCCATGTTGCTGCAAATGTCTATGCCCTTATTCTTTCTTTTCTTTTGTGTGTGTGTGGTTTTTTTTTTGTTGTTGTTGTTACCAGGGATCAAACTCAGGACCTTGGGATTGCGAGGCAGGCGGCAGAACCACTGAGCTAAACCCCCAGCCCTCCTTTCTTTTGTTTTTTTGAGACAGGGTCTTGCTAGGTAACCCAGGCTAGCCTTGAACTTGTGATCCTCCTGGCTCAACCTCTCAAGTGCAGGAAATACAGGCGTGTGCCACCATGCCCAGTTCTACACTCATATTCTTTTCTTAAATTTGATGTTTTAGTCAGTAGATGTCTGCGGTACACAGCAATTACATTCACCCTGGGCCTGATAATATACATACTGTATTAACCATCACATCACACTACCTCTCTAACCAAGCGTCTTTTTTCTTCCCTCTTACTGTTTTGAGATCAAATTACCACTCAGATCACTCGTTTTGAGTTGCTTGGTCTGCAATATAGCCGTGAACTTCTAGAACTGAGGGAAATTTTCTCCTAATTGTTTGTAGCCCGAGGGAGCCTGAGGGAGAGTCCCCTTACCAGTATGAGCATTTTCTTTTTAAAGAGATGGGGCCATTTATTGCCTGTGTATTAAACAACTGTACTATGTGTGTGCTTCCTGCTCCATCAACAAGCATGACCTGTTAAAGATGCTCTGAGGTCACATGACTCTGGGTTCTGTTGGCTGCAACATCCTTTGCTTCCCTGCTGGCACGACCTCAGGCAACTTGGCTGCAAGAGGGAGATCCTGTTCAATGAAGCCAGATCACATCTCACCTCTGCTCAGAACCTTCCCACGGTTCCCACCTCACTCAGTGTTAAAGCTGGTGTCCTTGCAGTGGCCTTCATGGCCCGTGTGACCTATAGGACCTTGACAAGCCTCTCTGACTTCATCTCAGCATCTTTCCTTACTTTACTGCACTCAATGCTAATGGGCCTCCTTGGCTATTACTGGACCTACCCAGAGCCAATTCTGGCTTCTGCACCATCCTTTCCCACAAAGGACTTCCTGGCTGTCCCATTTAGAAATGAAGCTCACCTTCTTCCTCCTCCTGCCACTTTCTTTGTCCCTCTTCCCTGCTTTCTTTGTTTTCCTTCTGTTTCAGATCAGATGTCTTAGTTTCCTTGTTCCTGGCACTCACAACTTAAAGAAAGACAGGTTTGGTTGGGCTCATGGTTTCATGGGATTCAGTCCATGTTGAGCTAGCTCCAAGGCAGGAGTATCATGATGGGAGAGAAAATCTTCTCAGCTCCTGGTGGCTGGGATTAGAGTAAGGGAGCAGTGGCAGAGGGGAATGAACCAGGGACTGGATGTAGTACCCAATTCACACTCCTTACTAATCTGGTAGGAATTTCTTTTTCCTATTTCCTTTTTAAAAAGAAGTTTTTATTAGTGTATGTTTGCAGTACATGATGTGTACATCCCTGTGGGGAGTTGGTACGTACACTTAATTACTTTTTT